CCGCCTCCCCTGCGCCTCGGGCCCGCCTCCCCGCCCGCCCCTCCCCGGCTGCAGGACCCGGGTCAGCCGAGGGGCCACAGCCTAGTCCGGGGCCGCCTCGATCCTCTTCGAGGTCTCCGTGCGTCTCTGCGCAGAGTGGGCTGAGTGTAGACGCCCCGGGCCGCGGCCAGTCTGCACCCCTTATGCGGGTCAGTCCGGACCCTCGGCTTGGGGTCTTGGCAGGTGGCGCCCCGGGCGCTGTGACTCTCCGAGCTTTCCGGTTGGTCGGATGGTGACGATGGGCGCAGACGGCGGGAGCCGAGAAGACGAGGTGTCTGTGCCGCGCTGTGGCTCCCGGGACCACGGAGCCGCCTTGTGGAGATGGGTTACTGTTCTCAGTAAAACACAGCGGCGATCGCAACGCGAGGTGGATGTTTCAATTTTTAAAAATCTTATAAAAGACACATTGCGAAGAACACGGGCTAAGTGTGTTCAAAGCCAAGGAGAAATGTCGGGCGTGGTGGCGCACGCCTGTGATCCCAGCACTCACGGGGGCTGAGGCAGGAGGATCGTTACGAGTTCGAGACCAGCCTGGGTTACAAAGTGAACTCAAGACCAGCATGAACTGTATAGCGAGACCCTGTCTGAAAAAGACACAAACAAAAAACCACCCCCCCAAAAAAAACCTCCAAAAAACAAAAACCCACACACAAAAAAGCCCAAAAAACACAGCCAAGGAGAATATTTTGAGGGGGATTAACGGCAATGTGTTTTATTGTGATAGTTTTTAAAAAAGTAAACATTCGCCGCAGTGTTTGGTTTCACTGTGAGCCTTACAAATGTGAAAGTAATTTATTAGTAGCAGGTGCCAGGTGCCAGCGCCACGCCACAGTCCCGCCTGTCCTTCCAGTCCCAAGGGACTTCCTCACATCTCTGTTTCTCAGATCTGCGCCCCGCCCTGCCCCGCCTGGCTGTTACACGGTCTCCTGCGGCAAAAGCTTCCAGGGTGAACAGATGTCCAGGCAAGGTCACTTCCAGCCCAGCCCGCCCAGCTGGGGCCGGCTGCTGCCGACTGCCGCCTCCAACCCTGATTTTGCAAGAGGCGTTGCCGCACGTCTCCACGTGGAGTCAAGCTCTGGTGTTACCTTTGCTTGTTCTCTTACAGGATTGTCCCTCATCCCCCAAAAGTTTCACTGTTGTCGCCCGGTTGCTAAGTGGCTCTGTCAGAGGATAAGTGCAGTGCAGAGGAGATGAGCGAGCGTTACCAGAATTTCTCAAAAGGAGTTTCTCTTTTTAAGTTGCATTAAGTTTTTTCATTAGTGCGTGTCTGTAGTACATGGCGAGTAGCACTCAGGTAAGGAATAGATGCATGTATGTAACGCATCTTAATTCTGCCTGGTTAGGGGCTGGGGATTTAGCTCAATGGCACAGCGCCTGCCTGGTAAGCACGAGGTGGTGAGTTCGATTCCCGGTATCGGAAAACAAACAAACAAAAAGTTCTTTCTGGTTCCCTTCCCTCTCGCTTTCCTTTCTCTCCTGATCCTCTTTCCATTTACCAAAGTCTGTCTCCCTATCTCGGGTTGCCCGTCTGTGAGAGGAGTTACACCCTCCCTTTGTGTGTCTGATTCATTTCACTTCACACTGTGGTTGCAGGGCGCCATTCCTTTCAGGGACAGTGAGGTCCTTTCTTTGAATTTCTCTTCACACTGCTTGCTTAAGAATGGTATACTCGCTGCTGCCTCCTGGAGAGGCAGGATCTAAGCAAAGCAGGGTTTTATTGTGGTCCTCTCCCATCCTGTGTCCTCTGTCTTCTTATTCTTATAACCCATAATGAGTGTTCACTCCCCAGATGCTTTTTAGCCTTGCAGTTATTTTCTGACAGCAATGCTTCATGCTCCTTTACAGATCAGAAAGGCAGTTTAGGCCAGGCGTGGTGGCACACGCCTGTAATCCCAGGACTTGGCAGGCTGAGGCAGGAGGATTGTTGTGAGTTCGAGATCAGCCTGGGCTAGAAAGGGAGCTCAAGTCCAATCTGAACTGCATAGCGAGACGCTCTCTTAAAAAGACAAAAGAACAAAACAAAACAAACAAACAAAAAAAACAAAACAAAAACAAAACAAAAACCAAAAACACAGAAAGGCAGTTCAGGGAGGAGTGCGGCTGGCTGGCCCTGTGGGAAGTGTGGAGTTGGGTCTGTTTTGTCCCGGGAACCAACCCCGAGCTCACGCTAAGCAACTCCCCGCCGCTCTTAGCTGCTGCCTCACGTTTCCCTCCTGGTCTCTGGGTCTCTGTCCAGGTCCTCTCCTTCCTTCCACAGTTCAAAATCTTTCACAACCTCCCTACCTTCCCCCTCTTCTTCTTTTTCTTTTTTTTGGGTCTACTGTATGTCCCAGGAACCTGCTCAAGCAACCTTTCCCCTGTCCTGTCCTTCTTTCTGACCAGCTGCTCTCCGAAGACTGTTGACCACACCCATCCCTGGGGTGCCTGGGACCTTCGGCATCCCCAGGGGGCAGGCAGTGCCATTAACCAGAGTTGGGGGCAGGACAGAAGCCACTTGGGTGTGCGCTGTTCTTTCAGGTGGAAGCACGCCGCTTCCACGGCTGGACCCCTTTCCTCCTGCTCCTGCCGACCCCGCCCCTTCTTTCCTGGCTGCTTCTCCGGTCAGCTTCTGGCCCCTCTTCTCTTTTCCCTAAACAGCTACTTTACCCAGAGCGCTGGGTCACCACGGGTGCCCACTTCCCTCTTCTTCCTCTGCGGACCACTTTTGTCATGTGCATTGGCCACCGTGCTGCCGCCAGTGCCAGAAAACAAGTCCGACACCGGTGGAAGCAGAAGCAGGAAGTGAAGCAGGAAAGGAGGCCTGCACAAGAGCCTGCGCGTGTGGCCCAGAGCCTGGGACCTGGACCTCAGTCTCCTTTGCGGGTTCCCCTCTCCGTCCTGGGCCCAACCTGGCTGCCAACAGCCCTTGGGGGTCCATGCTTCCTGGGTGAATTGCGGAGGGATACAACAGTCTTTCCCCTAGGAGTCTCCATGAAACACACACAGAGACCAAATCCTTGGCTGGATCAGGTGTTCATCCTCTGCGGGATCTGGGGAAGAGAAATGCTGAGGGGTTTAAGGCTTTACACCACTCAGCGCTCCCCTGTGAGCTGGGGCTGCAGCTGGACTACAAACGGGGTAACTTACAAACCACAGACAAGTATCTCTCGTAGTTCTGGAGGTCTTCTTTCTCATAGGTGGGGCCTCCCAGCTGTGTCCTCACAGGCTGGGAAGGGACAAAGGGTGTCTTACAGCCCATCCCAGAAGGGCACAGATCCATCCGTGAGGGCTCCAATCTCATGATCTCTCCAGTCGGCTCCCCACACCCCTCACCTTGGAAGGCACGTTGGCTATCCTCTTGGTCTGTCATGTGAAATTCTTGTTTAATTTTCTGGCTCTTCTGATTCTGATGCAAACATACTAATTCAATTAGAGTATTTATTGAGTTTCTACTATGAGCAGAGTATTATCCAGCAGTAAATATTTTAAAACAGAGCAAGGTGTACTTCCAGGTGTTCCTTGTCTGAGTTGCTTTTGTTGCTGGGACAAAATACTCAACACCCAAAGTTTAAAGAAGGAAAGGTTTAGTTAGCGCACAGTTTGTGGGGGCTTCAGTCTGTATCAGTCAGGGTTTTATTAGAGAAACAGATACAACACAAGATATACAAATGTATAAAAAATTAAAAGATTGGGGGCTGGAGATCTAGCTCAGTGGCATAAGCACCTGCCTGGCAAGCGCAAGGTCATGAGTTCAATCCCTGGTACTGCAAAAAAACCCCACCAAAAACCAAAAAACAAAGAAATTAGAAGATTGGTTTACAATGGTCAGCCAAAGAGTTGGAAGAGGAAGTGTACAGAGGTTGTGTGCATACTGGAGGCCAAAGGATTAGTCCAAGGTCTGGAGTTTACTGCAGTGTCTCGTGTGAGTCCACAGCAGGAGGCTGATGGGTCTGTGCCGGAAGGCTGATGAGTCTACACCAGAAGGCTGAAGGATCCAAGGTGGAAACTGAAGAGTCTGCACTAGAAGCCAGGAGATGACGTCCAAGCTGAAAGTGAAGACTGGAGCTCCTCCACAGAACGAAACCCCTGTCCTTCCTCATTTCCCTTTTATATCATGTAGGGGATGATCCACCCTGGGGTGGCTCCTCTGCACCCTGTGGTGTAGAATTGCTGAGCTAATTGCTGAGCCAAGTTTAGTTAAGCTTCTAAACTTCTCAGATTGACACAATCAATCAACCACTACATAGTTCATCACTGGCTGGCTCCCATTCAGAATGGTGTGGCAGAGGGCAACAGTTCATAGTGGTGGAAGACCGAAAAAGCAACAAACAAGGAAAAGAGCAAAAAGGGGGAAGCAAGCTGGGC